GGCGTCTGGAGAGCGTTTCCCAGCCGGGTTGACAAATTGCAAACAAATTGCGTCTAACGAAACGGATTTACCAGTTGTCATGCTGCCGGGCCGCCGGGCCGCCGGGCCGCCAGGCGCTCTGATTAAACCGTGGCTGTTCGTGAAGCACGGAAAAACGCTGCCCGATTGCTGCAGGTCTCAGCAGGGCCCATGGGGGAGGCTGTCCGGCTTGGAGGTGGAACCTGATAAGGAGTTACAGGATCTCCCAGGCGCCTCGACCCAGGGCGCCAAGACTTCTCGGTCGTGAGCCCCGGGTTTTACGATTCAAAAAGGCCCAAAAGACGTAAGGGGTGGGAGAGCCATCATGGAGGACACAGGAGAGGGAGCCTTCACATTTGGGGGACTGGAAGTGAACCCCAACGAGCAGAAGGGGTTGTTGGAGCCCTGGACCCTCCAGTGAAGAAACCCTCTGGAGGGATGGCTGCAGGCCTGAGCAGATCTGAGGCCTTGCCCTTTGGGGACTTCTGAACCCCTCTGGCTAAAGCGGACCCCACTTCCTCCTCAGTACCCCTCAAGGCACATTGCCAGCGTAGGGCTGGGAAGTCGCTGGGTTGACAATTAAATTTCCCTATGGAAGGTAGCCCCTAAGCAAACTGGTTTCTTTGAATCTCCCCTCCACTGCGGGCCAATTCGATGTCCACAGGAAAAGGTGGGAAGAATTAGGTTACAAAGAGAGGGCAACCGTATATGGTTCCAGAGGGGCTACCTTGGATGACGGAAGTTTAAACAAAGGGCGCGGAGAGGAGGGCCATGTAGGACGGGGAAGACGGGGCAGCTGAGAGCCACGGCCTAGGCCGGTGAGGCCCCGTAGAACTGGGCCTTGGGATCCCTGCGCTGCCAGCTCCCGGGAGAAAACATCCTGAGCCACACCGACGACCCACGCTTTCTCGGGGAATCTCAGGCCACTTGAAAAAGGCAGTTAGAAAATTCAGTTTCTCTGCTGCCCTTCCCCAGTGCTTCCTGAAGTCTTGTTCTTATGTAAGGAAAGTGACAGCTTCTTGGTGCGATCAAGAGGCAGCACCCGCATAAGCAACAACCCTTGGAAACGAACAAAAACATGAAAAAGGGAACGTGTCCCTCTGAAGGTGTTCCTGAGACCCGGAATCCCGAGGCTGTAAACTGAAATAAATCTGCTCTTCTCAGGCTCAAGGATGCCCCCCACAATCCCAGCCGATTGCCGGGCCACGCTGATCCTCCCCCGTTTGTTTGGGTACAGGTGATAGGATGGTCTCCATTGCCTACTGGGCAAGATGCCCAGGTAGTGTCCCTTGGTCTGTCTGGCATACACGTACACTCATGATTGGAGTGGGGGGTGTTTTACTGACCAGCTGGGCCTTCTCCTGCCTGGCGCCCCTCTTTTCTCTCTCAGGCGGGTTCGTTCCTCCGGGAGAACGCAGCAGTCCCGCGTCCAACGCAGGAGCTCCAATCATAGTGGAGGCCTCCGACAAGCCGGCTGCCTGCCCGCCTTTTGGAGGAAGGCAACCCGGGGGGGCCTCAAGAGACCTGGGGGAGCTCCCTCCTCCCCTTTTCTCTAGGCCCGGAGCGGGAAGGGAGACTGGTGCGGATCTCCCGAGGCCCCTGCTCAAGCATTGCTTAACTGCCCTGCTAAGCTCCTCTGCGCGGCGATTTTCTGAGCCGCCGAGCGGGGTAATTAAATCCCCGCCCGCGCTCGGTTCTGCGCCAGGCCAGCGGGCAGCTCAGGGCTGCTGTTCAGGCAGGGGGCCCGGCCAGGCTGGTCACCTCCACTCCTGTGGTGGCCCAGACGCTGCCCCGGAGAGGCTTCAGGTTGCCCCGGAGGAGCTTTTAGCCGAGTTCGGAATGATGAAACTGCAGGCCCACCCAGGATGGCGGTCATTTGAACCACGCCTTTGGGGGAAATAAAGCGAATTACCTGTTTTCCCGAGGGCCCGGAGCGGCCACGTCCCTGCGAGCCAAGGCGCAGATCGCAGCCCCACGGAAAGCTTCCGCTCGGCTCCGGCGTTCAAGGCCCCGGGGCCGGCAAGCGGCTGGCTGCCTCCTGCGCTGGGTCCCAGGGTTCAGGCTGACGGGGCAGCCTTGACCGACACCGGGGATTGTCCCCGGGGCCGCGGTGTCTTTGATAAGCTCTTGCTGGGCTCCAGGGACGCCAAACACGTTCGAGGCTCTGACGATCGCATTTTACGCGTTGATGAAGAATCGTAAGCTAAAGGCAGGGAGGAGAAACAGACGAACAGAGAGGCAGCGAGTCTGGCCCAGACCGCGCGGGTTGCGGGGAACGCGAACCGGAAGGCACTGAGGCCAATCACCTGCCCGGCCCGGCCGTGGAGGCCCGGCGCCCGCGGCCTCGCGCTCCCACTGTCCGGCCCCGGCTGGCGCCGGCCTCCTCTCATGCAGAGCGGAGTTCCGAGAAGCCCGGGCGGGCCCGGCGCGCCCCGGAGTGGAGCGGAGCGGGAGGCGCAGTGGGCCGCCGGGGCAGGAGGGTCCCTAAGCGCCCGGAACGCGCTGGTTCCCAGCCAGATGGGGCCCCGCGCCTCCGGCCCCGCGTCTTTACCTGCGCCAGGGCCTCGGACAGATGAACGGACAGCCGGACGCAGAGGCAGGAGGAGGCTCCTGACCCGTGCCGGCACCCCCGGCGCTGCCCAGAGCTGGCCTGGGAGAGGGTGACTGGGGCGCGCCCGCGGAGCTGGGCCTGGCCGGGAGCCCCCCGAGCCGAGGGGACCGAGGGCTTTCCTCCCTCCTCGGATTATTAAAAAGTTCATTTCCTGGCGAATCGGGTGACGTCAGGGGCCCGGCGTCGCGGTGGCGGGGCCGCCCGGCCGGAGAAGCCGCCTCCAGTTACCCAATTACCGACTGTCAATCCCGCCGCCCCTCCCCCCACCCTCCCGGGGGTGGCCCGGACCCCCACCCTCTCCCCTGTCCCGGACCCACCTGGGATCTCTCTGGGCTCCTACTCCGAGAGCCGTAGACTCAGCTAAGGGAGAGGGGCTGGAGCACGACGATTACTCCCCCTTACCCTCGCACCTGTCTCAAATCCCCCCAAAGTTCTTTGTTTCTGACCCCCCCTCCCCGCCTCCCTCGTCGGCCATAGGCTCCTTTCGAGCCTCGGTCTCCTCAGTCTGTATAATGGGAGAGAGCAAGGAGATTTGTGCAAGGGGCCCACTCCCCCCACAGAGCTGGATCTCTGCACTGGAGGTGTGTGGAGAGCAGTTCCAGGTGACTTAGGGGACGGAGTTCCCAGTCTACCGCCTTCCTCTCCCCAGGGGCCGCCTTAGGGACCCCCGGGAGGGAAAAATGCCTCCTCCTGCCCAGAGGCGTCTCCTTCGAGCCGGCGCCGGCGCCAGTCCGGGTCTCCATGGCCTCGCCCCAGGCAGTTCGGCCCGCTGGTCTGCGAAGGCCACGCCCGGGAAGGGGACGCCCCCTCCCCCTCTCTGGAGCCGCCAGCCAAGCCACCTCCACCCGGTCAAGCACAGTCCTAAGCGGCCTGTTGTCCGAGGCCCGGGTGCCCGCTCGAGCCGCGTAGCTCCTGCCCCTCACTGCTCCTGCTGTCCCGCAGCTGTCCTCCCAACCCCCTGCCCAGCCAGAGCCCGAGTCGGGGGAGGGAATGGTCTGGGTAGGTAGCTGGGACTTCAGCTGGCCACGTTCAGTGGTAAAGGAGGTGGGATCCGAGAGTGGAAGGGCTGGGGTCCCGGGGAGAGGACACCCAGACACCCAGAGGGTGCACGACCCATGCTCCCGGGGAGGGGTCCCCAGTTGGAGGTTAGTCACTGGGAGGAGGGCCCTGAGGTTAGGGGGATCCAGGAGTGTCCGCAAGAGGGGGCGCAGCAGTTGGCCAGTGGGGTGAGGGTCCTGGCGGGGGGTGTTGGCAGCAGGGGCCGCCGGGAGGGCGCTGGGAGGGGGCCCGCCGGCGCAGGGGGGCAGGCCCGCGGGTCAGTCCGGGAGTCCGGCGGACCGGGAGTTGCGGGCTCAGCCAATGGGGGGCGGAGGCTGGGCGGCGCGCGGCGCTGATTGGCTGGCGCGGGCTTCTTAGGCGTGCACGGCCCCCGCTTCATGTCTGTGCAGGAGTCGCGAGCTGGCGCCAGGGCGGCCGGAGGATGCCGAGGGGCCGGAGCCGGGCGGGCCTGAGGCCGAGGCGCGCGCTGTCCCCTGCTCCTACCCCGTGAGCCCAGCTGCCCGAAGCGCGGTTCCTGAGCCCGCCACTCCCGGGGCTCCCGCCGGTGCTGATCCCCCGTTCCCGAGGCCGCGCCCCCCCTCCCCGCGGCGCTGCGTGTGTAAGTTTGGGGTGCGAGAACTGGCCGGGGGCCTGGGGCGCGCCAAGCTCTGAGAGGTCTCTTCCGGGGCTCAAGGCCGGGGCCAGGCTGCGGGTGACTGCTTTGGTGTGCGGTGGTGAGAGGTCCTGACTGTGCCGCCTGGGAGTGCGCGCAGGGGGCTGGCTCCTAGCCGCTGGGGCTGCGTGTGCGTGTTGTGGGGGCGGGGGGGGGCGGAGGTCGGCAAGTCGGTATGTGTATCTGGCGCCAAGTGTAGGTATGTGCGTGTCGCTGGGATCATGTGCCCCGGTGGGTGCCCAGGCGCCTGTCTCCAACTTTTAGTCTGTGTTTATGTGTTTGTGTACCGGGAAGGAGGGGGGTCGGTGTGATTGTCTGACTTAAAATGAGACTCTGTATGTGTTTGTTGGGGTAACTGCTGTCGGGGCTTGTCCCGTGTGTGACCCGGCGTGCACGACTGTGGCTCTGGGACCGGGGGTCACCATGTGAGTGTGTGCGGCTGAACCCTCTCCTCCGCCTTCCTTTCGTTTTGAGCTTTGAGCTTTCCTCCCACCCGGGTCTGTTCCTCGGCTGAGCTCGGCTGAGGCGCAGCGGCGTGCGGGACTCCGCGTGGCGGGACTTTGGGGGTGTCAGGCCGTGGCGGCGCCCCTCACGCCCCCTTCCGTCGCTCAGGGACGCCGCCACCGCCTCGGCCCAGATCTCGAGCCTCCACTGCGGGCCATGGAGGTGGCGCCGGAGCAGCCGCGCTGGATGGCGCATCCAGCCGTGCTGAATGCGCAGCACCCCGACTCGCACCATCCGGGCCTGGCGCACAACTACATGGAGCCCGCGCAGCTGCTGCCTCCCGACGAGGTGGACGTCTTCTTCAACCACCTAGACTCGCAAGGCAACCCGTATTACGCCAACCCAGCCCACGCGCGGGCGCGCGTCTCCTACAGCCCCGCGCACGGTGAGCCCCCGGCCAGTGGGTGACTGGGAGCCCAGGCGCCAGGCGCGGGTGGGGAGGAGGGCCCGGCTGCCTGCTTCCCGGATGTGAGATCCGCAGGAATCGGAGCAGCTGAAAAATTGGGGCGGGAAAGGTGGGGGCAGCAGCCTCTTGGGGAGGGTTTGGGCACCCTAGGTTTCTGCCCATTTCCAGCTGGCCTGTGGGGGTTCCCTCCAGGCCCTGGTCCAGTGGGGTTCCTTCTGTGCCACTTGTCCGTCAGCTCCGGACTGACATTCTTGATTATTGCCGGTTGGGGTGTTATGTTTCTGGTTTTCTTTGGGAAGAAGGTTACTGCTGGTTGTTTTGTGAGTTGTCGTCCTGTGTATCCGAGCCCTAGCGCGGCTCAGCCTCTGCCCACCCTGACCCCTCTCCCTCCTCCTGCAGCCCGCTTGACCGGAGGCCAGATGTGCCGCCCACACTTGTTGCACAGCCCGGGGTTGCCCTGGCTCGACGGGGGTAAAGCTGCCCTCTCCGCTGCTGCAGCACATCACCACAATCCCTGGACCGTGAGCCCCTTCTCCAAGACACCGCTGCACCCCTCAGCTGCTGGAGGCCCCGGAGGCCCCCTCTCCGTGTACCCAGGGGCAGGGGGTGGGAGTGGGGGAGGCAGCGGGAGCTCTGTGACCTCCCTCACTCCCACTGCAGCCCACTCTGGCTCCCACCTCTTCGGATTCCCACCCACTCCGCCCAAGGAAGTGTCTCCCGACCCCAGCACCACCGGGGCTGCCTCTCCAGCCTCCTCTTCCGCAGGGGGTAGTGCAGCTCGGGGGGAGGACAAGGATGGCGTCAAGTACCAGGTGTCACTGACCGATAGCATGAAGATGGAAAGCGGCAGTCCCTTGCGCCCAGGCCTGGCTGCCATGGGCACCCAGCCTGCCACACACCACCCCATCCCCACCTACCCATCCTATGTGCCCGCCGCTGCCCATGACTACAGCAGCGGACTCTTCCACCCAGGAGGCTTCCTGGGTGGCCCTGCCTCCAGCTTCACCCCGAAGCAGCGCAGCAAGGCACGCTCCTGCTCAGGTAAAGGCAGGTGCCAGGGACCTAGTGGAAGTGGGGATGGTTTGTGCTTGTGTGTGTGTGTGTTTTGTGGGAGGAGGGCTGTGATATGGGAGATGGGGCAATGTCAGTCTTCCAGATCTGGGGACGGGTGATGTCCCCTTCCAATAGCCTCCAACAGATGTTTGAGATTCCAGAATGGGGGAGAGGGAGCCATAAAACTTTTGTCCTTTTCTTAACTGTTCCCAGTGGCCCCCAAAGTTCATTTCCCTTCCCCCCTCCTCGCCCTCCCTTCCAAGGTTGGCCACTGCCAGACCAACACAGGACGGGAATTCCCCCTTCCCTTCCCTTGATCTTAACTGAAAATTTGAGCCTCTTGACTTAGTGTAGGAGAGAATGCAATACGCAAGTGACAACCATGAGGCTGTGTGTGCGTGTGTTTGTGAGTGTGTGTGCGTGCTGTGGGTGTACTGTAGGTGCTCCAGACCCTCAAGGAATCTGGTTCTCCAACACAATCAGTCCAATCTTGGGATTTCGATGTTTCCCAATCTCCTTGGGAGATTTCCCCCAAAGCAACATTCCCAGGACTTGTTCCTGCTCCCTGCCCCCTGGCGTCCTTCATTCTCCCTGAAGGCTGGAGTGAGGGGGATGAAGTATAGGTGCCTCTACCCCTTTGCCGGAGGAGACGGCTGGAGCCAAGCTGGTTTGTCCAAGAATCTGGCCATAGAGCAGAAACCAGGGCTAGTGCGGGACTTTGGCTGTGAGTGCCTCCTTCCCAGTGCCTGTAAGTGGAGGAAGAGGAAGACTTTTTAAACTTTTACTCCTGAGTCTGGGAAACTTTTCATGCCCATATATAAAGACAATTTAGTTGAAACTAAATGGGGAAACATTTTCCTGGACTTCGTGATGCCAGGGCATCTGGCTACCAAGCCTGATTGCTGCTGCCACCTCAGGCACCCACCTCAGCCCCACCTCGGGGGGGCCCCTGTGCTGCTCAGGCCACCTACCTTGCCTTTAATTAGCCCCTTCTCCCAAGTTTGTTTTACACATTCTATTTGAATTCCAGATGGTCTTTTAGCAACAACAACAGAAAACAAAAACAGAACCCAAAAAACCCACCATCGACAGAAGACCAAGGTCACTTAGTCTACTTGGCTTAAAAACAAAAGCGCTTATGGTTAATTTTATTTTAAAGAACACCACCTTCGATCTGAGTCCGGGACTGAATTCTAGGGCCTCAGCGGAAGAGGGGGCAGCTGGGGAGAAAGAAGGAAATCCCCCTGCTTGGAGAACAGAAGGAGGGTAGGAGCTGAGGGCAGAGAACTGGGAGGTGGCAGACGCAGCTGGGGAAAAGGGGGAGACAGAAGAGGAGAAGCAGAACTAGAAAGCGAGCCAGAGCCCTCCCAGGCCCAGCCAGGTCGAGCGGGGCCACTCCTGCCACCGCCCTGCCCTCGGCAAAGTTTGCTGTAAATACCCTTTCATTGTCGCGCCGAGAATCCCTGGGGCCCTGGCCCCACTCCTCCCTCCTGCCCCGCTTCCCTTCCTTCAAGAGAGGGTTTTGAAGAGGGAGCTTTGGCCTTAAACCTACTCTCTGAACTCCTCTTCTGGGGGGGAAACCTCCTCCGGGTCCCTCTTCCTGCCCAGGGTTGGAGCTAAAAGTCACCGCCCGAAGCAGCCCGGGCTGAGGCCGACCGCTGCCTGCTCGGCGCCCGCCCACCCCTGGCTCTCTCCCATGACCTTGTCCGTTAAGCAGGCCCTCTGTCTCTCCCTGTCCCCCTTCAGAAGGCCGGGAGTGTGTCAATTGTGGAGCCACGGCCACCCCTCTCTGGCGGCGAGACGGCACCGGGCACTACCTGTGTAACGCCTGTGGGCTCTACCACAAGATGAATGGGCAGAACCGGCCCCTCATCAAGCCCAAGCGGAGACTGGTAGGCACGGGGCAGCAGGTGGCTGGGGGGTGGGGGCCGCTAACCTGGGCCGGGCGGCGACTTATTGAAAAAAATAATAGTAACACCACCAAAACCTTTTGAGGCAGCTGCTTTGCCTCTTGAAATCCTTTTATCATTAAAATCACTTGGGGTCACCCTTCTTTTAGGTCAGATTTTTTTCAGGCCAGATTTCCCCCTCTGCAGCCCACCAGGTACCGTCACCGCCTGGAGCTCAGGAATCCCCAACATGGAGTGTCCAAGGGCCCAACTCCTGTCCCCTGGACTCTGTTTAACTCTTTTTAAAAATAGGGCCATGAAGTAATTTTCCTTGTAGCCCAGCACACAATCTCCTCACACTTATTTAAATAAAACACACACTCACACCAACCACCAAAAAAACCTGCCCTTTATTATTTTTCCATGGAGTCACCTATACTGTGTATTTTCATTTGAGTGATTTAAAAAAATGCCCTTTCGGATCTCCTGCCGGAGTTTCCTATCCGGACATCTGCAGCCTGAAGATAAGGAAACTTCGCGTATCTGTTTCCGGACCCCGCGAGTTTTAGAGCCTCTCCTCGGCTCAGTCCTGCCTCTCGCTGGGCTGTTTTGAAATTTCTAATACCCTCCGCTCTGCAAATAATGCGTAAAATGCTAAGAATAATAAATATATTTTTTTCAGGGCGAAGTGATTTACGAGGCTTAAATCGCTTGCCTCTTTGGGGGCCCCCCTCCCCCCACCCCCCAGTGAGGGCGGGGTGAGGGCCCGGTGGGGGTAGGGGTGGAGGATACGGTGTTGGCCCCTGAGTCAGAATTCCAGCTCCAGGCCGCTTACTCACCCTCACCCTCCCTGCCCCCAAGGCTGCAGTCCCGCAGGTCCCTCGGACTGAGTGAGCGAGCTCCGGCCCCACCGTCCCAGCCTCTGCTGGTCTCCTTCCCCCACCCCCTGTCTTGCTGCCTGCGGTTCTTTGGGAAATAGTTTGGGGTGGTGGACAGACGTGTTCTGTCACTGTGGGGCTGGCGCGGGTGGGCGCTAAGAGGAGATCTGCTTTCTCGGTCAGGATTCTCTTAGTTTCCCTTGTTAGGAGCCTTCAGCTCCCTTCTCCAGAAACCAGACCCTCATTTCCAGACTATCTCTGGCCTGCATTCCCTGAGCGGCTGCGGGGCAGTCAGCAGTCTGTGGTTTGGGGTACAGGGTGCCGGACGGACCGGCCTTGTGCTGATGGAAAGGTTCTGGCTCTGCCCTGTCCACTGTGGTCGTGACTGTTGATTCTTTGAAATGTGGCTAATGCCATCGAAGGAACTGAAGTTCTAATTTTATTAAATCATAGTTCAGTTGAGTTCGAACAGCGCCACGTGGCTAGTGGCTATGGCACTGGACGGCGCAGCTCCAGACCTCCCTAAACATTTGACGTCCCTGCCTGGCCTCTGCGGGGGTGGTCACACCCAGGATGGTGGATTTTGAAAGGAGTCACGTGGGAGTGCAGCTCCAGACCCAGGGGCTCCAGGGGGACTGAGTCAGCCGCCTCAGGGCCTCAGTTTCCCCGTTTGATGGTTGGGGGCAGTGGCTAATTTGTCCTTTCAGCTCTTGCAACCCCGTGGATTCTGAGATCAGGCTTCTGAGCGTTCTTTATTCTAAGTTCTGCGCTGGTTTAGGTCTCAAATTCTAAAATTCCACGGCTTCTGAGATGCCTGGATTCCCTTGTGAGCTTTCCCGCTCCCGGGCTCAGTCGGCAGGGATGGGGTGGGGGGGGCGGTGAGGGTTGGGGAGGGAGGTCGAGGTGGGGCGTGGGAGCCCAGCCTGCTGACGCCGCCCCTCCCCTCCCAGTCGGCCGCCAGGAGAGCCGGCACCTGTTGTGCAAATTGTCAGACGACAACCACCACCTTATGGCGCCGAAACGCCAACGGGGACCCTGTCTGCAACGCCTGTGGCCTCTACTACAAGCTGCACAATGTGAGTCCACCCCTCCCCGGGGACCACTGCTCTTTGTGCGGCCAGGCGAGGGGGGCCCCAGCCACAATCTCCAGCGTGGCTTGGCTTGGGAGGCGGCTGCCGCCCAGCGGGGAAAGCCCCAAGTGCCAGAAGGGCTTCCCATAAGAGGGGGAAAGCCGGCTGGAAGTGTGTCCCCCACAGCGGGGAGCCCTGCAGGTCCGGGGGAAGTGGTGCCTCTTTAAAACAAAAGGTGGGCATGGAGTTTGGTCGTGTTGATGGGGGAACGTGCTGGCAGTTAGTGGGCTCAGCGCTCTGCCCTGCGGGTCCCACACAGTGAAAAGCACCTTTCTTGACAGGGTAGCATGCTGGCGGGAAGACTGCAATGGGCGAGGGGGTTTGCAAGTGGGGTCCCCAGCCCAGACTTCCCTTTGCCCCGTGCGGAAGCTGGGGGGGTCAGGGTCTTGTTTGGGGAAGGGAACTGGACCTCCTGAAGGTTTTGTTGTTGCCCCCAGGTGAACAGGCCGCTGACCATGAAGAAGGAAGGGATCCAGACTAGGAATCGGAAGATGTCCACCAAGTCCAAGAAGAACAAGAAAGGTGCAGAGTGCTTTGAGGAGCTGTCCAAGTGCATGCAGGAGAAGGCCTCCCCCTTCAGCGCCGCTGCCCTGGCCGGACACATGGCGCCCGTGGGCCACCTCCCACCCTTCAGCCACTCGGGACACATCTTGCCCACCCCAACGCCCATCCACCCCTCCTCCAGCCTCTCCTTTGGCCACCCCCACCCATCCAGCATGGTGACCGCCATGGGCTAGGGACAGCCCCCCAGAAACAGACGGACAGATGCCAAGGAGGGTGACGGGCAGCTCAAGGCTGGGCGCCCCTAGGCAGGGTGGGCCAAACTCTTAGCAGCCTGCCTTTCCCTGAAGACTGATGCCACTCCTGTCAGCCCGGCCGGAGCCCCAAGCTGCCTCTCCTGTGGGCGCTCCACTTGGCCGTCAGCGGTCACTGTGAAGATTCTAACCCAGGCTGGGAGGCAGCCTTGGCCCGGCTTACTGCCCAGGTGGGGTTTCCATCACGGACGATTGTTTGGAGAACAGAATGGACAATTTTATAAAGAGAAGAGGGGGGCAGGGGACAAACCAAGAAAACCGTTTTTAGAAGGAGAAAGGAGTAGGCAAAAATAATTTATTGTGCTCTTGTTTCTAACAAGGACTGGGGAGACATTCCCAAGTTCTCTTCTGGGTCTTCTGTGCCAAGTGCTGCTTGGCCCATCTGCTTGCTGGGGCCCTGGGGGCAGGTGTGTGGGGGTGTGTGGGGGGGTGGGCGGAGGCCCTCGGCCCACACCTTCTCCTCTGGCTTCCTTTCCTGAAACAGCTGAAGCCCAGGTTGGGCTGAGCCAGTGCAGCGGGGCCACCAGCCTGGGGAGGCTGAGTGGTGCGTGCCCTGGCGGCCAGGCCCTGGAGGGCAGAGACAATCATGGGCGGTCCTGCGCAGATTCCCAGGCCAGGGCTGGGTCACAGGAAGGAAACAACATTTTCTTGAGAGGGGAAATGTCTCCCAGATTGCTCCTCTGGCTCTGAGGCTGAAGCTGGTGTGACCCGTGTCCCCTTAACGAGCCTGAGCCACAGCCTGACTCCAGCCAGGTGAACCCCTGTACATACATCCTTTTTCTGAGAAACCCCTCAACCTCCTCCCCTCCCACTCTGAGACAAAAGAAAAAAAAAAAAAAAAATATATATATATATATAAAAGACTGCATAAGCTTAACTCGCTGAGGAGTTAATTGTTTTATTTTTAAACTCATTTTGGGTCCAGTCAATTGTACGTTGCCACGGAAGCCCTTGCTATGGAAAGGAATAAAACCTACAAACCAAGGCTGTAGCTTCACAATTATTTTTGGAAAAGTTCTTCGATCCCACAACCCTAGGACGGGGAGCTGGGGGTCTGGGGAGGGGCCTTGGCTGCTCTTGGCTTCCCGGGGCTGGTCTGGCAGGTGGCGAAGGCAGGAGTTAGGGGTGGGTCCAGGGAGAGGCCACGACCCTGCTGGGGTCCCTGGAGACGCCTGAGTTCTGCTCTGTTTTGCTGTGGCTGTCTGGATCCTTCCCAAGGTACAGCTGTACATAACTGTGTCCGAGCTTAGATTCTGTATGCGGAGGTGGTGGGGTGCGGCGGCTGGCAAGGGCCCGGCCCGGGAAGAGGATCGTGCCGATGTAGTCGACCAAGTGCAATAGGGGCCGGCGATCGCTGCAGGGGACGGGGGGGCGGGGGGGCACCACAGCCAGAAGTAACTTATTTTGTACTAGTATCCGCATAAGAAAAAGAATCCGCAGTATTTTCTGTTTTTATGTTTTATTTGGCTTGTTTTATTTTGGATTAGTGAACTAAGTTATTGTTAATTATGTACAACATTTATATATTGTCTGTAAAAAATTGTATGCTATCCTCCTATTCCTTTAAAGTGAATACTGTTAAGAATAATAAAATACTTTTTGTGAATGCCTCTGGCCGGTCTTGTGGGCTCCTGGGCTGCTGAGTCCTGGGTGTGGCGATAGGCAGTCAGACCTAGCGGGTCCTCTGGGCCCAGTGATTTGGAAAGAAGGGCTCCTGGAATAGGGGATGGGGCCCTGTCTGGGGTCGGAGGTCCTGAGCCCCCTCCCCTGCATTTCTCCCATCTGAATTTCCTCACTGTCACCCCACTGGGGGTCCTGGTGGCTGGGTGGATACTGGGGAACCACGGGGAGGCCGTGGTTTCTCCAGCCTTTGGTCTACACACTGATCCTTTTCCTGGGGCTCCTGTAGAACCCAACAAGGACCGACCCCACCCCAGCTCCCATCCACTTCCTCCCAGATCCTGATCAGCTCTTGTTTCTGAGCTATCTGGTCATCAATATTCCTGTTCATTGACAAATATGGTCACCAATGTTTTTGGTCACCGATGTCATCGATTGCTGCCATCTTCAATCAACGAGGCTGGTCATTGGACATAGCTACCATGACTGTTATTCTTGGTCAGTGACATGTCTGATTACCAGAGCCTGTAACCATAGACATCTGATTACTAACAACTGATCACCAACACTCAATCACCAATATTTTGTCAATGCCTCTGATCAATGAAGTGTCTGGTCAGACAGCCACAAAATGTGATCACCAGTGTCTTCAGTGACTGTCCTGGCTTACTAGTAATATACCTGGTCATGAGTATCTCCTACCACCGATATTCATGATCAGCACCTCTATTCATAAATTTTTAATATTCAGTGTGTCCGGTACCAACATCTCTGATGACCATTGTGTTTCCTCAGTATTTCTATTCACCATATTTGTGATCACTGGAGCCTCTTATCACTCATGTTCCTGATTTCCAATGTGCTGGTCCCCAATGCCCCCAGTCATTGATGTCCTAGTACATTGAGAAGCATGATCACCAATGTCACTGATCAATGTTTTTCTAATCATTGATAGATCTGATCACTCATATTTCTCTCCAGTATCTCCAATCACACTATTTTCATCACCAATGTCTCCTTGACAATGACTTTGGTCACTTGTCTATAGTCACAAACATCTCTAACCAACAATATGTCTAATGACCAATGTCTCTAATCAAGGGATCTTCTTCCCATCAAATTTTCTGTCGATGTGGTCACCAGTGATTCTGGTGACTGACATCCCTAACTCCCCAGTGCTAATCACCCAGCTTTCTAGTGTCCAGCATAGACATTGTGGAGTCTCATCTTCCAAGTCCCCGATGACCAGGGTCCTTATATCCTGATCGCCAGGAGCACTGACTGCCAGCCTCCTAGTCATCAGTATCACCAGCCACCTGTGTCTCTGGTCACTAAATTCTCTAACCATTGCTGCCTTTGGTGCCCAGTAGCTCACCTACCACCAGGATCTCTGGGTGTCTTGGTCAGTGATCACTGGAAATTGAATGTGATCACCTATGTCTCCACTACACTCAATCATCAAGGATATGGGCACCAGATGCTTCCTTCACTAACACTCCTGTTGCTCACATCCTCAGTCCCCCATGTCCCTGATCAATGATGAATGATATATCCAATCAATGATCATGCTGATCACCAGGACCTCCTGGTCCTCAGTGTACAACCACTACCTCTCTGATCATGTGTTTGAGTGATATCATGTCCCATGATGCCACTGTCTCTAATTACTAGTCATTCTATTCATATGTTCCTGATGGATGACTTCTTTTGGCCCTAATCACCATCTCTGGTACCCTGGGTCCACAACGATTAGGATTTCTAATGGCCAACCTGCTTGCTCCTTGGCAGCCCTGATGTCCACGTGGTCCAGGGGGCCCTTCCTTTCATTCTTCCCATCCCAGACTGCTAGTGCTGGCAGGGTGCTTGCTTGGACCTAGGGAAGCAAGGGTCCTGTGGAGGGCAACATGCCCCCTGTGGGGTCCCAGATATTCCAGCCCATCAGGAGGAGCAACCCTGGGACTCTGACTCAAGAGCCCTCTGTTCCTGCTGTGCCATGCTACCACCCTACCTGCATCCTTTTCCTGTAGAATAGAAACCTAGAGCAGGTAGGAACCAACCTGGTGTATAGCTGGATGGGCACTGGCTTGTTCATCTCAGTGCACAGTGGTCCTCTCAGCCTTTCCCCAGCTCACGGCATTCTGGCCTCCCCTCCCATCAGCTGTAGCCACAGTGAGGGCAGGGATGGTCCTGTCCTTCCATGCCCTGGCTCTTGACTGCAGGATTGTGTGTCTGTATGATCGTGTACTCAAGTGTGCATGTCTGCCTGCCTGTTGAACACCTCCTACACACCAGGCACTCTTCTAGGTATGGGGGCTATATCACTGAATGAAACAAACAGGAATTCCTGCCCTTGGGGAGCTTACCTTCTATGCAGTAAACACAATAATGACTCTACCTGGCCTCTGGCAAGCCATCCTATTACCTGGCCCGAAATCCAGAGCCCAGAGCCAGAACCTGGAGTCCAGAGCTTTGTGTGCACAACTGGTCCCCCAGGACTCAGGAACCAGACCCAAAACACAGAGCACAGAGCCTGTACCCCCAAAATCCAGAACTTAGAGCTTGGAGCTCAGAATCTAGAATTTATATGCAACTGGGGTCAAGAACCTGGACTTCAGAATCCAGATCTCAGAACATAGAGCCCAGAGCCCAGGGCCCTGAGCATGGGCCCTCAAATCCACAGCCTAGAACTTGGAGCTCAGAACCCAGGACTTAGTGCCAAGGATGTGGAGCCCAGGGCCTAGAATCTAGATCCCAGAGCTGCAGGTGGCTGGACCCGAAGGCCAGAATCCAGAGCCCCCGCCCCCTGTTTCTCTATTACTACCCTGGTCTTAGCTCCTTCCTACTACCAATCAATATTTTTGGAGCACCCAATGGCAGGTACTGTTGAAGGTGCCAGAAGCTGCCAGAAGAAACAAGTAGATGAGCGGATCCCCTCTCCCTGCAATGTCAGGTCCAAGAGGGCGGGGACTGGCTCTGCTGTTCACTCTTGGGTCTCCATCGCCTCTAATGGGCCCGCGTAGGTGCTTCCCCAATGTCTGTTGGTAGATTCATTCACTTATCCCACGTATGTTTGTTGTCCCTGTTAGTTGTTGGTGCTTTGGGGTGGGGATGAAACACATACATCTTGCCCTGATGGATCAGTTCTCTCTGGCTGCCAGGAAACTCTTGGAGAGAAGGGGTTGTTTCTGACAAAGGCAGCGGCCAGAGCTGGGGAAGGCTGTGGTGGCGGTGGTAGGGTGTCGAGTGGGTGACCACCAGGAGCGGGGAGGCATGTGGCTTTGGAGGCCCTAAGTTCAAGCCCCAGACACTCCTGCCCCTGCAGCTTCTG